ACCTGTGGTCCCAGCTACTTGGGAGGTGGAGGCAGGAGACTCGCTTGAGCCCAGGAGTTGGAAGTTGCTGTGAGCTGTGATGCCACAGTACTCTACCCAGGGCAACAGCTTGAGGCTCTGTCTCAAAAAAAAAAAAATTACATCTTCTCTTTGCTAGTATTTAGCAACTTCATTGAACTTTGTATATCAGTCTTGTTTACTGCTAATAGTTTAGATGTATTTTCCCTTCCATTTTCATCATCTACACCTAGCTATTTTATTACTTCTTTTCTTATGTTTATACTTTTTTCATGTCTTAGTGCATTACTTCAGCATTCCAGGATAATGTTAAGTAGAAATGTGCTTCTGTATTTCATTAAGTATGAAATTTACTACAAATAGTAGATTAATCACATTAATATGCTTTCTGATCCTTGTTTGAGAAGGAATTTGCTTTTTTATGTCACAAATGGCTATTAAATCAAATTTTTACAAATGTTGTTTTTTTAATTTATTGAAATAATTCATTTTTTTCTTTATTAATGGGGTGGGTTATGTTAAAATAATTTTTATTTTCTAATGTTTATTTTCCCTTGCATTTGTGAAATAAACCCTTGTTGGTCTCAATGTGGTGTGTTTTTTTTAAGCATTGATGCATCACTTTGTTTTTAAAAGAATTTTTATTAAATTGGAATAATCTGTTTCTTGAAAACTGGATAGATCTTATTTATAAGATCATCTAGACTTAGTGCAGTTTTCTTGTAGTTAAATTTTGTGTATGTTGGAAGGTGGAGGATAATAGGGATGGATTTAAACTACTGATTTAATTTCCATAGTTGTTGTATATCTGCTTAAGCTTTCTATTTCTTCTTGAGTTATGTTTTATGTTACTTTTTCTAAGAAATTACCCATTTTATCTGATTTCTCCATATTTTTGGTATAAAGTTGTTCATAGTATTATTTTACCATCTTTCTTTTACTTTTGTCACTCCTTTTATTCCTAATACAATATTTTTTTCTGGAGACAAATGTTTCACTCTGTCACCCCAAGTACAGTGCTCTGGTGTCGTCATAGCTTGCTGCAACCTCGAATTCCTAGGTTCAAGCCATCCTCCTGCCTCACCCTCCATGCAGCTGAGACTATAGGTGCATGCCACTGGGCCTACCTAATTTTTCTATTTTGGTAGAGATGGAATCTCACTCTTGATCAGGCTGGTCTTTGACTCCTGATCTTAAGTGATTTTCCCACCTCAACCTCTCAGACTGCTAAGATTATAGGCGGAAGCCTCTGTACCCAGCCTCTAATAAATAATACTTATATTTTCCCCATAATTTGTTTTGATCATCTTTGCCAATCTTGTCTATTTTATTATTAGTTTTAGAAAATCAGCTTTGTTTTTACTGATCTCTCAATTGTTTTTTGTTTTAGGATAAGCTATTTTTCATAGTTGTTTGTTTGTTCAGTTGTTTTGACTAAATACGCCTCATTTGCCAGGCTTATATCCTAGGATGTGTTATTACCTCAAAGTATTTCTTCTTGAAGATTTTAACTCTCTTTTAAAAGTTTGGAAGCATCTTTTTTTTTTTTTTTTTTTTTTTTGAGACAGAGCCTCAAGCTGTCCCCCTGGGTTGAGTGCTGTGGCATTACAGCTTACAGCAACCTCCAACTCCTGGGCTCAAACGAGTCTCCTGCCTCTGCCGCCCAAGTAGCTGGGACCACAGGCGCCCGCCACAATGCTGGGCTATTTTTTTTTTGGTTGCAGCCGTCATTGTTGTTTGGCGGGTCCGAGCTGGGGATTCAAACCCGCCACCTTAGGTGTATGTGGCTGGTGCCTTAGCCGGTTGAGCTATAGGCACTGAGCCGAAGCATCTATTGTTAAGTTTGATTTAATATCTGAAATAGGATACAGTTCTTTTCCAATTAGTTCTTGTGTCACTGCCTGCCATTTTTTGTTCTGGAGTCATTTTACCCCCTAATATAGTGGCTCTCAAACTACCTAATGCTGTGAGCCTTTAATACAGTTCCTATGGGTCGTGACCCATAGGTTGAGAACCGCTGCCCTAATACTATGTGACTTTATTTTCTATCTTTCCCTGTGGCTGGATTATAATATGGAATTTATTTTATCTTTGTTCTTAAAATTATGTACTCTCTCAGGGTATTAGACCTGCTATAAAAGTCTATAAAAAACTATAGAGAATAGTTTTCTTACTCAAATAAGATAATCTTTTTTTACATTTTATATATTTTAATATACAGTGATTTTTATCAGCATAGTATATCTACACATACTAGGTAGGACTGAAGAGACTAAAGGGATTGTAGATGTTGGGTGATCCACAGATCTAAGTTTGTTTTGTTCTTTTTTTTTTTTTTTTTTGAGACAGAGCCTCAAGCTATCCCCCCTGGGTAGAGTGCCATGGCATCACACTCACAGCAACCTCCAACTCCTGGGCTCAAGCGAGTCTCCTGACTCAGCCTCCCAAGTAGCTGGGACTACAGGCGCCCGCCACAACGCCTGGCCATTTTTTGGTTGCAGCCATCATTGTTGTTTGGCGGGCCCAGGCTGGGGATTCGAACCCGCCACCTTAGGTATATGTGGCTGGCGCCTTAGCCGCTTGAGCCACAGGCGCTGAGCCAGTTTGTTTTGTTCTTATTAATCTATATAACAGCTTAGAAACCTGTGATTTTTTAAGTTTTATTACATTTTTATTTCACATACTTCATACTTCAAAATTTTAAGTAAGTTTATATTGTAATACTTCCTAATGTACCCAAATCTTAAACAATAAATTTTAGATTTAGGATATTGCTTTAATATTTTTGTATTTTGTCATCTTAAGGTCACATTAGACACAAAGTAGAAGAAGCCCTTATTAATGAAGAAGCAATTTTGAACCTCATGGAAAATAGTCAGACTTTTCAGCCTTTGACCCAAAGACTGAGTGAGTCACCAGTTTTCAGTAAGTAACAGTGCTACTGTAAATACTCAGGATTTTAAATCAGTGAACGTGTGTATTGGGGGGGTATTTTTTCTTTGATTTGAAGAGATTAATGTTACATGTTAAGTAAATGCTCACTCTACTGAATATAAAAGTGAAACCTTGCATTAAATTGAGTAACTTTGTTTCTTTTTTTTTTTCTACACAGCTTTTTCTAAAAAACAATTTTAAAAGAAATTTTTTTTTTTTTAAAATTTTCCTTTGGGGTAAAGTCCTATTGCTTTGGAGGGAAAATGTACTTATTTTCAGTTAATATTCTCCAAAGTTAAGAACATTAATAAAACACTATAACTGGTTCTTTTTTGGTGAGTATCAGAAATTGCACTGGACTATTCTGCCCTTTTTTTTTTTTCAAAGCAACGGAGTCTCTTTGGCTCTGTCACGCAGGCTGGAGTACAGTGGCATAATGATAGCTCACTGCAGCCTCAAACTCATAGGCTCAAGTGATCCTGCCTGAGCTTCCCCAGTACCTGAGACTATAGATGTGCACCACCACACCTACCTAATTTTATTTGTTTTGTTTTGTTTAGCAGCCCT